AAACTATTTAATGCAAAAACAGCTCATTGTGTACAGCAGGGGTATGAGATGGTCCTTGGGTCAGACCCCTCTCCGGCTAAATAGCTCTGCTCTTCTCCTCACTCATCTGTTTTGTTCTGTGCCAGTCTGCTCTGACCTGTGCTGGTCTATACCACTCTGCTCCAGTGAGACATCTTCTGAATTTCAGCTCCAGACAGGGAAACACAGCTTTTAGTGGAAAGAGAAAATGTGCTCTCAGGGCCAGAGGAAAGCAGACTGAGAAACCCCTGATGCCATGCTGGGGAGTTTCTAGGCCAGTGGCCGTCAAAAATGTGGACTGAAAACCACCAGCAGCAACAACAGCAGTTGAAACTTGTTAGAAATGCACATTCATGGTTGCAACTTCGTACCTACTGATCAGAAACTCTGGGGATGGGCCTTAGCAATCTGCATTTTATTGAGCCCTCCAATGATTCTGACACAAGATCAAGTTTCACAAGCACTGCTCTGAGCATTGGAGAATCACTAATGGCATATTATCAGAGGAGTAATGAGATAAGCTATTTTTCTCAAAAGGTAGTTTGCAGTTGGAGGAGGAAGAGAGATGGGGACAGAGTTTTATATAAGTAATCATTCTGGTAAAAGAACTATGAAAATGCCAATAGGGTAGTGAGATTTGAAGTGAAGGAGAGGTAGGACTAGTGATGATGGACATGTAGGACAAGAGGGAAAAGCCAAAGGTGCCAATAAGACTATATATCAATGTACTATTACTGTAACATATTTTATATTGCCTGTTTTCCCAGGAACTAAGGTTCCTCCTCTATAAAATCACCATTTCTGCAGGCCTTTTCAACTCCTATGCCAAGCAAATAAAGCTGTGGAGTTGTAGTCAATGAAAGAGAAGCACCACATGACCTCACTCATTTATGGATAATAAAGAACATTATAAACTGATGAACCAAAAGATAGATATAGAGACAGTAAAGCAACAAGTAGACTGTCAAATTACAGCAGGTAGGGTAGGGAGATCTGGGGAAGATAATAGATCAACCGAAGGACTTGTATACATGCATATAAGTACAACCAATGAACACAAAACTCTGGGGAGGGGGGTATGTATAGGAGGGGAGGCAATGTTAAAATATGTATACGATAATAATTGAATAAAAAAATGGGGGGAAATAAAAAAATTTTTAAAAATTAAAAAATGAATTTTAATATGAAAATAAATAAATAAATAAAGCTGTGGAGTTGTTATGCCCAGATTTCAAGATCCCCAAAGACCACCAGGGAGTGGAGTCCAATGCAAAAGCAAAGAGCCTTTATTCAAGCTCAAGCCCAGTCTCTCTGCCTCTACCGATGCAGCAGCAGAATGCAAAGAGCCCTGAGTTCTCAAAGTACAGCTTTTTTATAGGGTTTAGGATTGGGTGATGGGATGATGCTCGGACCACCGAGTTGGCTGGTTCCGATTGGTGGGGTGAGGGCCAGGGTCCAGTTATACCGGGTTACTTCCCTCTGTGTCTCTATTAGCCGATTTAAGGATGGGTTGGGTAACTGTCACATTCTGTGGTTTTACTTGGAAAGGGGTCATGTCAGGGACATAGTTACACAAGATGGAGGACACAGTACAAAATGGAGTCAGTCCTGCTCTGCCCTTGCAGAGTGACCTGCTCTGTCTTTTCAAAGCTCCGTGTGAAGCAGTGGTTGGAATGATAACCCATGGCATTGTACTGTATCACATCTTAGTTCGCCTCACTTCCCTTTTTGTTTACCTTTTCTTCACTCATCTGGGTTTGCACCTCCCAAACAAGTTGCTAACATCTTGATTTTTGCGTAAGGCTCTATTTTGGAGGACACAGAACCCAACCAATAGAAAAGAAAATGGAACCCAACTCCCATATGGCAATCAAAGCAAAACCAGTACTACACCCCAAGATAAATGTAAGAAGTAGCACAAAGGTTTGATTTTTTTTGCCAATGATTGCTTTGATGCCACCTGTGATGTTGTGATTTATAATAGGAAATATGTATTTGGTATGTCCCAGTTTGTGGCAGACCTCCTAAGATCCTTAGAATTTCCCAAAAGCTGAGAGCCCATAAAGATGTATTTTATGTTAATGAGGTTACTTATTATAATGAGGTTGTTATGGAATTGGCGTGGAAGAAGACAGTTGGACACTCGGAGGTTCAGGAAAAGCCCTTATTCAAAGCAGTGCTCCTGGTTCGGGGAACTCAAAGATCCAGAATCTGAACAACTTAGACAATGAGATTTTCTCCTTATATATTTCTGAGTTTGTTTCCTAACTACCAAGCTTCTGTAGTGGACTCACCCAACCCCCCTCGAAGAATGGTTAATTTAGATTGTTTCTAATGCCCATTCTGGATGGTGCCAGTGACCTCCCTCTAGTTAAGCTGTTACATCCTTGGTTTATGGCCCTTGTCAATTGGAAGTATTTAGGTAAATAGTTCTTGCAAGACCAGATAATTAAGGAAGGGGCAGTGACTTCAGGAATGTGCATTAGGGACACTGATTAACTAGGTACAGAGTCCAGCTGCTAGTCTACATTCTTTCACACATGGAGTTCACTCTTGGCTAGCAAAAGTGTGCAGTAGAAGGCAGGTTACTGGAACAAATTCAGATTGCTAGCCCCCAAAAATGTCTTATGCTCCCCATCAAGGTGACTAAAAATGGGGTTTGGTTACCAGAGGAGCCAACCACATGATTAGAGGGTTGAAACTTTCAGTCCCACTCCTGACATCTGGAGAGGAGAGAGGTGCTGGAAATGAAGTTAAATCACCAATGGTTAATGATTTAATCAACTATGTCTATGTAATAAAGCTTCCAAAGGACAAGGTTCAGAGAGCTTCTGGGTTGATGATCAAGTGAAGATGCTGGTAGAATGGAATGTTCAGAGGTCATGGAAGTCCTTGATCTTTTCTACATACCTTGCCCTGTGCAACTCTTCCATCTGGTTGGTTGTTTCTGAGTTTTATCCTTTTGTAATACACAGATAATTTAAGGAGTAAATTGGTTTCCTGAGTTCTGGGAGTCACTCTAGCAAATTAGTTGAATCCAAGGGGTGGGGGGTTGTGGGAAGAAGGAGAAAAGAGATGAAACTGCAGCCTACTCTTACCTTTGTAGTACTCTGTGCTAAGGAGGAAAACTATTTAAAAATGTGGTTTTTCATAGCTGAAAATGACAGCAATGAAGTCAAAGTACTTTTGCTGTACACGGTATGTGTTGTAGGAAACCACCAGAATATCAACCTAAGGAAAAAAAGAGTAGGGAAAGAACACAGACCATCTGTTCCTAATATATAACTTTATTTGAAGCAGATACAGCTGATAATACCTCACACAGAGCAAAAGCAACAATCTAAAGCTCGCCAACAACTCACACCGTTAAAATGCCAATGCACACACTACTTTGTAATCAAGGATCTAGACCTAAGCAGGAACCAAACTTTTGTTTTTTTGAAGCAAATTTAGCTAAAAGTTTAATAGATACAAAATAACCACTCACAATGGTTAAGACTTTAATGAATAATCAAAAATTAAATGTATCATCTAATATTTTTTTTTAAATATATTTTTATTGATTTTTCACAAAGAGGAAGAGAGAGGGATAGAGAGCTAGAAACGTCGATGAGAGAGAATCATCGACCAGCTGCCTCTTGCACACCCCCTACTGGGGATGTGCCCGCAATCAAGGTACATGCCCTTGACTGGAATCGAACCCGGGACCTTTCAGTCCGCAGACCGACGCTCTACCACTGAGCCAAACCGGTGCCGGAATATCATCTAATATTTTTAAAGGCCTATCATTTAGCTTAAGCTTCTTCAACTCTCTAGATAAAAGAAAAGATTCTGGGTTTTTAAGTTCTTCATATAGGACTTCTATGGAGGAAAGGTGCTGTGAGCATGTGTAGGATGCATTTTTGAGAGAAGCCCAGATTATCAGGAACTCCCCAGTCACTCCATGGAGAAGTCCCTCCATGGGAAGCAGTATAGCTCTGGGGTATAGAAGCCTTGCAGCCAAACTACTATCTCCTTCAAATCCCAGCACTTCTACTTATTAACTATGTGACCTTTGTCAAGGTAGCCTTTCTTTTCATCAGTTTTCAAAATAGGGATGCTAATAGTATCAACCACACAGATATAAAGATCTATAAAGGGGACAAAATAAGTCCACAACAACTTACTAAGTGTGTGTGTGTGTGTGTGTGTGTGTGTGTGTGTGTGTGTTTAGGAAAAGAGAAAGACATCTTGTTCATCATTTTCAGAGAGAGGCTGGGATGCGATAACCAGATAAGAAACTCAGTTTTCCAAATCAGTGGTGAGGACTTCAGAAATGGCTTCTTACTCCTGCCTCTGCTAAAGATTTGGAGAGCGTATATATCCCTCTGCTGAGGTATCAGAATCCTGAGGCAGGCAGCAAAAATATATTATGCACCAACTGTATATAGCAAGCTCTATAGCATGAAAAATAATAGCCTTATATTATTTATTAGCAAAGGTTGCCCAATATTTACTCCTGGCCATTTTTCTGGCCATCAGGGAGGGAAATGTATCTTAATTTTCCTTAATTTTCCTTAACCAAAGACTCTCCCCTCCCCCATTCACACTAGGACTTTACCTTTGGGCCACTTAAAGGGCTAACCAACTAACCAACAAAAACTAAAGGATCACCCAGAGATGGTAATTAAAAAGGATCAACTGGCAGCTAATATTTCAACTGAAGAGCACGAAGTACTCCATTCCCCCCAGTAATGGCACAAGAATGAGACACAATACCTCTGCAGCAAAAATCACATACTGATAGATATTTGGGGCTTTTATCTTCCATAAAAAGTGACAATTCAGAAATGACAGATTATCAGATTCTTACTCTTAAGTGAATCTCCTTGAGATGAGTATTTTTAAAGGTTGTTTCTACATTGAAATTTAGATTGGTATTTACTCTGTCTTTTCAACTGTTCTTTGGAACACTTGGCTCAAATATCCTTCCAGCAGTCTTCTTACTCAATTCCTTTATCTTTCAGCTCCTTCTTGACACGTTTCAGATAATCAGGATCAGGATAGCCATAGCTGCAAAAGGAAAAGCCCCTTAGTTTCACACATGGTTTTAAAGATTCTGTACAGCAGGTCTCTGGCATTAGCATTGTATTGCAAACATTAACAAGCAATCCTGGAGGCGGATAATTATAATCACTTGTAAGTGTGCAGATGTGAATCATTCAGCTAGTGAGTGAGCCTCGCTGTCTGTCTAGGATCTGCCTCCCAACAAGACTTTTCATTTTCAATTTGTAGTAATCAGTGACTCTAATAAAATTATACTCTATATAAAAAATAAATATATAAAATGTATTAAAACATGTTATATATAAAAATATAGTATAGTATATATTTTTATTATATTTTTATATATTTATTTATATATTTATTATATATTTTATTTAGCATATAACACATATATATATTTTTATTATATATATGTGGTATATGCTACAGCAGAATTTTCAAATTTGGAGAATTTGCAAAACCTTAGAACCCTTTTGAATATTAAGGATCACAGATATTCTATCTGAAATTACTAAGAACAACTGAGTTGCCTACAATACAACTTTCACAACATTAAATAAGAGCTTTTCTAGAGTACTATCAGCCAAGTAAATTAGGGACCTCTATGGACCGACGGGAGGAGAGGGTAGAAGGACGATCTTTAAAAAAGGTAAATAACATTCCTAGGATCTACCCTTCAAAAAACAGGAAACCACGAAACAAGTCATCTGAGATATCATTGATCTTGGATTCTGAAGACCCTTGCCTTTTGATACAAAATTTAATAACTGTATAATAACTATCATACAGTTAGAAGGTGATGGGAACTGATCGTTCTGGCTTTAAAATTAACATCTCTCAAAAGACAGTATCCAGTCTCTAACTGGTTTGGCTCAGTGGATGGAGCGTCGGCCTGCAGACTGAAAGGTTCAGGGTTCGATTCCGGTCAAGGGCAAGTACCTTGGTTGTGGGCACATCCCCAGTAGAAGGAGTACAAGAGGCAGCTGATCGATGTTTCTCTCTCATTGATGTTTCTAGCTCTCTATCCCTCTCCCTTCCTCTCTATAAAATATCAGTAAAATATATAAATTTTAAAAAAGACTGTATCCAATTCCTCTGCTACAAATAGTCCTTTACTGCCATATCCTCAAATTGCCATAGCTTACAACCTCTAAATTCTGTTTAGCAATCCCTGTATTTCAAAACTTCTCACTTTGCTGGTCCCCCACTCCTGGAGGTTTTGTGGTGGATATCATTCCATGTAGTGACATTTGTAGCTCCTGTAACTCGAGAATCCCCCACTGTGAAAATTAGCTTTTGGTCAAAGGCCTTTCGAAGCAGTGTCAAAACCTCCTTTCCTTCCTTGTTATCAGGCAAGAATGCAGTTCGATGTGTTCCAGAATAATTCATTCCTGGGCGTGGGTGCTCTTCCTGTGTGAAGACAGAACCATGTCACACTCACAAGTCTAAATTTTACTATACAGGATAGATGTGTTCATTTGCAGATAAGAGTAAATTAAAAAAAAAAAAAAGTATAAAAATATTCTCATATTCCCAATAATTCATATTTCTCCTCTTTCCCTAAATTCATGCTGGGAATACCATCCACCCTAACACATAATCACCATCCACCCTTCCTCCCCCTTAACAGACACAAAAGGTAAGTTCTAAACTAACACTGTTAACTTCATCACTACTTAAAGCCTTAGAAATAAGTCCCTGGGAAACCCACTAATTGGCAAAAGCGGTCTCTTTTGCACTGGTAATCCTAGCACAGTGGAAACACAGGGATCTCAGAAACACTTACTGTTTGTGTGCCTCCTCTCATATTATAATCAATCACGATGGAGCCATAGGTTTCATAACCTGGAAGTGAATCTCTGGTGTAATGGACAGTCATCGTTCCTTCTGGCTGATTCCCTTTTAGGACACCATAAACAGTCTGGCACAAAGGGCAGACTGGCTTATATGTCATGTAGCTGTTGATACAAGGGGTGCAGAATTCGTGCTTGCACTTTGGTAGAACTAGCTTGTTATTAATGGGCTCCAAACAGATGCTACAGATATCCTCTTCCTCGTTCATTCCTGACGCCCCAGAACTGGCAGAGGGCTGGGATGTTGGTAAAAATGTTTCTGAATCATTACTATCAACGTCCATGGGTGTTTCATGATACTTATTCGATTTCTCTCCAGCTAATGTCTGTAAGACATATTGTTTAGCCTTTGCTACGTGATTCGGCAATCCAAAAAAGGTAACTGATTCTTGATTTACGACAAAGTCTACACCTGCATGTCTTTTTCTAAGGTTATCATCAAACTTGATCGCATAGAAGACCTTTCTCTCGTTGCCCAAAGATTTCAGTGAAACAACTTCTCTCATCAGCTGACAAGAAACATGCTGATAGGCATCAATGAAATTTTCATAAGCTTGCACAGACAGATCTAACTCCTTGTCCTTAGGTTCAAATAGAATGCAGGTTTTATGACCTTTCCCCAAAATCTTACTTTCAGTGTTGTACTTTTTTTCAATCTCTGATATCTCCTGGAATAATTCAGCTTCTAAAAGCTTGTACTGAGCCGTGTCAACCTCAATTCCATTCTTCATCCACGTCGGAGTTATTATTTTCACAGGTACCTTGACTCGACTTTCAGAGATTTGAGGGGCAAGAAAATATCCGGCAGCTGAAATGTCATTAAGTTGGTGAGAAAATCCCTGCTTGATTTTATTCGCCTGCTTCTTGTCTGCTAATGCAACACATTTCTGCTCCATATTGCCTATGCTTTCCTGAAATTCTCTGACAAAAGTATCTTTAGCTGCTCTGAGATCACTAGATGGACTTGAGATGAAGTATAAAGAGACCTCATTCGGAGAACTCTCTTGGATTTTTATTTCTATACCATATTTTTTCTTTAGCGAGTTTATTTTTTCAGGGGAGGTATCTGTGAAGTACTTAAATAAATGCAAGGGAACTTTGAAACAATTGCTTTTTCCTTCTGACTTCGCTCTTGGTTCAGGGGGAGAAACACAGCTGTCCCCCTGGTCCTGCTGATGGAGTGGCTCCCTCTCTGTTGCCAAAGGGGCTGATTCCTGTTTCTGCTCACTTTTTAGGAGTTGCTCGCTCAAGAAGTCATGTATTTTTTCAATATCTCTTAAGTCACCACGCACTGTCTCAATTCCATCGTGGCCCTCCTTTCTTTTGACATTGGGGAAGAGAGTGGTTATGTGTTCCCTCTGCTCTTTAGAGAACAGGTTACAGTTCAGGTCAGCTGTGACAGTAAGGAAGATCTGAAAATATAAAAGGAGCAAATGAAATCTTTCAGACATCCAGGCCTACAGTCTCTAGAGAAATAACTACTATGTCCTCCCTTAGAAGATTTGTTATTTCAAATCCTTTTCACAGAGGATGGAGCACTCTATAGCCCAGAGCAAGGTTCTCGGCCCTGTCTGCACATTAGAACCACCTGGGAAGTTAAAAGAGAGGGGGGGCAAAAAAGCCAAGGCCTATGCACATCTCCAGAGATTCTGATGTAAATGTAGAGCTTGGACATGAGCATATTTTAAAGGCTCTGTGGACAAGCAATCTGGATATGCCACTATCTGTTTGATGGAGGGAAGGCACTTTGTCTTTTCAAGCAAGCTGCCGTGGTTCTAACAAAAGAGTCTGTAAGCCAGGAAGGAACCCATAAATCTGAGGAGGATGTTTTTTTCCTCTGTTTTTTCTAGTCTTCAACACCCCTCCTTTTTTTTTTATAACTAAACACCTAAGTGCATGCAATGTAGCTGAGTCCTCTAAACCTGAGCCTTTAGTAGCTCAAGTATTAGGCAAGCACAACAAATTAGGCTAAAAAATATATAGGCAAACTCAATGGAATAAAAGAAGATTTCTAATGTTTCCCCCCTCTCAAGATCTTTGCACATGCTATTTCCTCTGCATGTAACATCCTCTTTTTGGATCTTCCTTCAAAATGTTTATTG